CTACGACGTTGTGGGCAGGGTGGGGGAGGGGGTGACGATATGGGACGTTGACGCGGATGATGATGCCGATGACGGCTGTGGTGAGTGGGGGGAGGGGGGGGGGGGGATTCGGGGGTAAGGATGGCGGCGAGGGGAACTACGGGTCGTGGCATGCACCTTGGCGGTGGCGGGGGCGCGTCGCACCGCGACCTTTATAGGTCGTGAAGGACTACGGGTGCTTCGGCAGGGACCGCCACGCCAGGCTCGCGCGGATCATGGCCAGGCTCGTGGCCGCGGGCGGCGAGATCCATGAGCTGTACGACGCGGCCGACGACGAGATGTTAGCCTACCTCGAGTGGAGCTTCTACAAGTTCTGGGGCCAGTTCACGGATGCGGGTGGCGGGCACGCCTGGCGCATTTTCACGCTCTGCCGCGCGAGCAGCGCGGCTACTGCTTGAGAAAAAACCGTCAATCAAATCATTTGCGCGCTTGTGCATTGAGTTGCATTGCACTGTCAACATCAAACACCAAAACCAACAGCACACACACACACCAAAAAAAACACCATGATTTGCATTGAGTTGAATTGCATGCGATTGCCGATAGCATGATTGCATGATAAAGCCATAATAGCACCAACAAATACACTCACCAGCCAACACGTGCGTTGCACTGAGTTGCACTGCGTTGCTTCGGCGCACGGCGCCAGCTTCACGCGCGCGCGGCGCCGACCATGATAGCTGCACTGCGCCCGAGCTGATACAACCGCGCACGTTCTACTTCATAGCTTCCCCCATAGTGTGATAGTCGGCGACTTGCACCGCGCGCCACGCATACATGTAATAGTTGGTGCTGCGCAGCAGAATCTAGCTTACGCGTGCAAGGTCGCAGGGTTTCATGACCTGGCTAATCTTGAGGGCATGCGAGGGTCATGCGATTCTGTTTGGTTCCAGTCGTGACTGCGCGCGCGCATTTCAGAATTGCCTGATTGGGATCACGCACGCCCACAGATGCCGCGTGCCAAGCCAAATTTGCCGCACGAGTACGTGGTAACGTACATTGTGCCCACGCCAATCCAGGGCCCTCTAGCTAAACCCCCTGAATCGCGGGCATGACGCACCTGCCCCTCACCTCCCCCCCACCCTCAATCCGCAGCCCCCCATGTTAGTATCCCTTCTCACCGTCCTCATACCTACTCTTCTGTGGGGCCTTATGTATGGTGGAGTTTGCTGCGCTGCATGCGTTGCACTTGCAGGGAGAACCAGAGGGGGTGGTGAGGAACCATGGGGCAGAGGGCAGAACGCGGGCGGGGGCGGCAAGCGGTGGTGCGATGGGCGAGGGCACGGGGGGGCATGGTGCGACCGCGCACAGCCGTCTCGGCCGAGACACAGCGGGCACGCGCGCGACTGCGACTGCTACCATGCCGCCGCAGCATCCGTTTGAACCGCCGCCTAATTACTCGCCGCGGCATGGGGGCAACCGCCCGCCGCCATTTCAACGACCGCCCGCCCATCCTCCAATCCAGATTCATCCGCGTCCGAAAGCCAGAGCGCCGTCGCCCGCGATCCTGCAGCTGCGACCGAAAGCGAACCCCGCTTCGCGGGATTCCGCTGCATGGCATGCCCCAGATGCTTCGGCGGCGACCGAGGTCGCGCAAGCAGCGGCGTCGGCGGCCGATACCTCGGCAGGGCCCGATGCCGCGGAGGCAGATGCCGCGGGCGAGCCGAGCCCATCCTCAAGCGATGCCGAGCTTGACGAGCTGCGGAGGAGGCTTGACGATCTCGCCATGGAGGAGGAGACTGCGGTCGCGGCCTGGCGCAGGGTTGCGGCGGCCCGTGCTCGGTTTGAGGTCGCCGACACTGGCGCGTTTATTCCAAGCATGCGGGCCTTGGAGGCAGCTTGGATCGAGCGCGATGCCGCCGCCGATCGCTGGAATGCGGCGATCAGCGCGCTCGAGCTCGCGCGCGAGAGGGCCTTCATGTCCCGCGAAGAAACCATTGCGATGGGCGAGGAGCTCAAGGCCGCGGAGGAGGCGGCGAAACAGGTGTGGTGGGGACCTAAAGACCCAACCGTCAGCAGCTGCGAGCGTTGCATTGTGGAGGAATGCATGGTGGAGGGGTTGCGCGAACGGGGTGTGTCGATAGGGTCGGGGTGGCAACGTGCTCCGCGTTTTCGCTGGCGCGGCGGGGCGTCGCTCGAGGCGCGCGCGCCGCTCGCCGTTCGCCGATCGGGATGTGTGCGCACACCTCCTCAACGCACTAATCGGCGTCCGCGTATGGGCTCGCGAGCCGATCGGCGTTCCGTTGCAGCATTATGCGGCTGCGTGCAGACCGCGACGGCTTGCGCTGTCGTGGTCGGCACCTCTGCGCTGAGGCTGGTGTTTGTGTGGTTTCTAAATAATGCATCTGGGACTAACGTCCGCTTCGCATGTATATCTAATCCCACCAGCCCTCTGGTCGTAGGTGGTTTAAGGAGTTTCCTCTTCCAACCTCCTTCTTCTCCTTCGGGGAGGGGTTTACCCCTCCCCCTAGCCCCTCCCCTGGACCTGGACGGGGCGTTCCGCGAGAGGTTGGGATGGCTCCAAGAGCGCCTCGGAGAGCCCAAGATGAGCTCCAAGATGGCTCAAGATAGCCTTATATGCCTCAATATGGCTCCGAAGATTGTCCAAGAGGCCCCAAGACCGCTCCTAGATAGCACCAAAAGGCCAAACAGCTCCCCGAGAAGCCCCCCCACGCGGCCAAAATCTTCAAAAAGCCTAAGGAACACTAATGAGTTTCGGCTTCTCGCCTTTTCGCTTCCGATGGCCATCCGATGCCCCAAGATGGCTCCAAGAGGGCCCAGAGCCCCAACAGGGGCCCAAGAGAGCCCCAAGACGGCCCCAGGAGCGCCCACGAGCGCTCCAAGAGCGCCCCAAGAGGGGTCCAGGATGCGATTTTAGAAGCTCTGGAGGGGCAACGCTAACTAAAGCCCCCCTCTTCTCTGGTCGACCTCCTTCAAGATGGCCCCAAGAGGCGCCCAGGATGCCCCCATAGGCCCCCAAGGTGGCCCCAGGAGGCCCCCAAAAAGCCCCAAGATGCTCCAAGATGCCCCTAAGAGGCCCCCAAGAGGACCGCAGAGGCACCCCCGAGGCACCCAATGCGCCCAGGAGACCCCCAGGACCGCCCTAGGAGACCCCAAAGGCGCCCCAACAGGATGGCACCAAAGATGCGACCACTTATATATCCCCAAGAGCTCCGAAGGCGGCATCCAAAAGGACCTTACGGCCCTTGTGCTATCGCAATTTTCCCCATCTACATGAATCATCCTTCTCTCACTCCTAATAAATGCCTCATCCTTCTGATACTTAGTCATCCTTCTCATCCTCATCCTCCTAATGTTAATCTCCTTCTCTCCCACTCCTCACCTCATCAATCCATCCAGCACTTCCCTCCGTCTCTACCTACTCCTCCTTCGCGCGGTGTCTTAGGTTGTCCCCCTATGTGACTCCGCGCTCACCTGATCACCTCAACTCGCCATTGCGGAGTTTGTTTCTGGGTGAGGCTTCGGTGGGGATACGCGAAGCGGCTAGATGCGGCTTATGTGCAATGTGCTAATTCTCGATTGTTCCACACGAATTCGTACACATCCCGTTCACACAACTGTTACGCGTGCATACGGAGTACACATACATACGCGTTTATGCATACAAATTTGTGTCTACGACGCCATGGTGTTACACATCGCACATTCACCGCTAATCAACACACATGTACGCGGTTAAACGCTCGTGCAGCATACAAATCATACGTATATAATGTACCACAAGCCGCATGCAGCGTTACGCCTAAGCCTACATGCATGTAGATCAGAACGCCCCGCGTCGACCCGAACAGCTTTGAAGCATGGAGATATATGTAGCAAACAAGCCTGTCACATTCGCGGGCGCGAATGTGCAATGTTTCGCACTGCGACCCAGAAGAGTGGAGCCCCTCCTCTCCTCTTCTCCCCCTCGCGGGGCCAATGATCGCCTCCCGTCTCTCCCGCCCGTCAGGTGGTCGACCTTCGGGTCTTGCCCTCTGGGCTCCACCTGACGGGAGTGGGGGAGATGGGGGGGGGGGGCTGATGATTGGCCTCGCCTTCCGAAGCCGCGGGCTGCTGACAATCGCTGTTCCCCGAGTGTTTTCACAGTTCAGAGGCTCCTTATTGCCCTCGTGGTGCAGGGCAGCCCCTAAGCCCCCCATCGCAGGGCGCTGCAGACTGCATGTGGGCCCCACCCTCCCCCGCCCCCCCTCAGCATATGTAGCTGATCCCTAAACAGTAGGCCCTCAGGGTAAAGTTAGAACGCCAGCAGCCATGCAGCAAACTTTACAATTGTATGCGTGCTGGTCAGAATGACCCACGCGCCTTTTTGACGTCCTGACTTGTGGAACATTGCCCCTCAGAGCATTGACTGGTTGATATATATATATATATATATATATATATGGATGCCGTACTCGTGCGCTCTTTTTCCGATTGCCCAGCGGCAGACAACGCGCCAAGGAAGCCTCGCGCCGAGACAAGGCGGTGGAGGCCCAACCGTGTCCCCAGGGCAGGGGGGCTCCGACGCAGGCCGAAAAAGGCCCACATCCCAAAGATGAGTTAGTTGGACACTCCCGACAATTCAGTAGATCGAGCCATCCCAAAGGGAGGGAGGACCATCCCAAACGCACACATGTTTTCACCCTCCCCCGACATCTCAACACTGCAAGTCGCCCACACGTATAATACAGCACGTAACTATATCAAAGGCAGATCGGCCATCGCAGAAACAGTCCTTCCCAACAAAACATGTACGCTCACCCCAACCGAAAACCTTTCCCGAATAGACTCCTCCCATCATGTGGGTGGCCCCCGCCCACCCCCGACCCCCCCCAAACTCCTTGGGCTTGGAGGCTCTTCGCGCCACGATGACGTCCGCACGCACCGACCTATACCGACATACCGCTGCAACGCGTGCAACGCATTGCAAATGCTGCGCGAGCGTAAACCACAACCCCCACTCACGGGGCCGCCTCCACCAGCCCGCGCTTGATGGCGTCCTGCAGGAACGCGACCACGGCGATGTACGCCTGCTTCTCAGAAGACACGTTGCGATGGTCGAACTTCCTTTTAACCTTGTTGCATCCGTCAAGCAAGACGCCCTGCGGTAGCTTTGCCGTCCTCTTTGACTCAGACCTGCATTTAAACAGCCAGCAGCCATTGGGCTTCTTGAACGACCCCAGCTCGACGGCGTTGCAACTGCTGCCACTGCTGCGCGTATAGCGTGGGATCACCCCTTTGAGTGCACGGCTGCATGGGTGCTTCACCTTGGGCCGAATCGTGGGCTTGAGCATCTTCATGAGGCACGCGGCGCAATGTGCTGGGGCTGGCCCCGCCGCCTCCGTCGCTGACGTCTCCTTCGCCGCCGCCTCCTGAGCTTGCTGCGCCGCCCGCTGCGCCGCCTCCTCCTTCTTTGCCTCCTCGGCAGCCCTGCTCTCGAATATGCACTTCATGAGCGAACATCCCCGAGTCCACCGCTCCTGCCGCGCTGCCCTCATCCACCGTGCCGAATCCCATCGCCGCACAGTCGCACTGCTTAAGCTGCGTGAGCTCGATCTCTTCGAGCTCGAGCTCGACGAACTCGTCGAGCGGGAGCGGCTTCTCGAGCCCGATCTCACCATGGCGGCCCGAGGGACCGATTGCAACATGCAATATGCACAAGTGCAAACAGTTGGCCGCCGATGTCGCAACCGATGTTTGAGGCAAAATAGCCGCGGGCGGATGATCTGCCACCCAGTCAGGCGCTGATGGCACTGCGAAGATCGCACCACATATCATTCCCACAGCCCAGCGTAGCGTGACATCAACGTTATCACGCTCGCTCGCATAACATAGCACGGCATCGCGTTCATCATTGGCGGTAGCATAGCACGTTGACACGCGTAGCATAGCGCAGCATATCAGGTATTATGTCGCTGCTGCGGCTGGTGGCGCCCCAGGGCGCGCATGCACGTGTGCAACTCTGCGCTTGCAAATCATGTGCACCACAGCGTTTGCCACAAGCGGTTCTTATCGGAAATATGACACCCAGTAGCTCTGATACGCTCGATCGTGCTTCATAGCGATAGCATGTTGACCCGAT